GGAGGGTTCACTTCATTTGTCCTTCCTGCTCCAATCTCCTTTTCCTCTCCTTCATTTGACAGTCTTTTTTTTTTTTTCTGACACTGTTTTCTATCCTTGGCCCCTTCTGCTCTTTTACCTTTCTGTACTTTCTGCTTATTTAGCGCCCTTCTGCTCCTTTCTCATTCTGATCCCTTTCTGCTCCCTTTTCTACTTTACCTTTGTGCTCCTTCTGATTCTTTCTGCTCCTTTACCTTTGTGCTCCTTCCTGCTCCTTGCACCCACACACAAACAGCACACACACACAAACAGCACCCTGACAAACACACAACACCCACACACAGCACACTAACAGGACCCGAACAAACACCCTCTCACACACACACAGCAGTGTATATTATATATATATATATATATATATATATATATATATACACATACACACATACATACATACATACATAAAACAAGAGGGGGTTGGCTGCACTCACCTGAACATGCATAAATGGGGGTGCTGCTGGGGGCCAAATAATACAATACACAAGATCCAGCGCACTCACCTATGCACTAAACAGCAACTTCAATGTTGAAAGATTTTGTTTTTTTAAAAACACCTAATCTAGGCAAAAATAATGGGGGTTTAGTTACATTATATGATCATACATTGCATAAGCCTGCCACAACGTCAATGTACCCCATCTTTGGCAGGTCCTACACTAACAGCCTAATGTCTGCTCTTATGAGATTAACCTACTTGGGATAGGTATGGAATTTTTTTTCCCAAGTAGGTTAAGCTCATAAGAGCAGACATTAGGCTGTTAGTGTAGGACCTGCCAAAGATGGGGTACATTGACGTTGTGGAAGGCTTATGCAATGTATGATCATATAATGTAACTAAACCCCCATTATTTTTGCCTAGATTAGGTGTTTTTAAAAAAACAAATAAAATCTTTCAACCTTGAAGTTGCTGTTTAGTGGATAGGTGAGTGCGCTGGATCTTGTGTAATATATATATAAATATATACGTGGCGTGTGTTTGTGCTTTAGGGTGCACACCCTCATGCAATAGGCTGCGCACGCCTATGCTCACTTCCCTAATCTATAGGCTGCCCCCCATGCCTCACTCCCCTAATCTATGGGCTGCTGCCCCCCCAGCCTCACTCCCCTAAGATATAGGATGCCCCCCTCACTCTCCCCTGCTGCTCCCCCAGCCTCACTCCCCTAATCTATAGGCTGCCCCCCTACTCCCCTAATCTATAGGCTGCCGCTATAGGCTGCCACTCACTCTTCTCTAACTCTCCATAGGCTGCTGCCCCTCACTCCCCTAATCCATAGGCTGCTGCCAAAGCTGCCTCACTCCCACCCATAGGCTGCTGCCCCTACCTAATCTATAGGCTGCTGCCCCCTCACCTCCCCCACCCTATAGGCTGCCCCTCACTCCCCTAATCTATAGGCTGCCCCCCCCCTCATAGGCTGCCCCTCCCTAATCTATAGGCTGCTGCCCCCTCACTCCCCTAATCTATAGGCTGCTGCCCCACCAAAAAGATCTATAGGCTATCTCAAATCCTCCCCCCATCCCCCACTCCCCTGATCTGTAGGCTGTCTCTGGCTGCATGTGTTGTTCCCCTGCGGTTTCAATCAGCAGAGAGAAGCAGGGATCCCTATCCCTGTCTCTCTCCATACACAGCGCCATCTACTGGCCGGCGCCGGTATTGCAGTTCATTTTAAATTTCACACGAAAAATATCAGAACAAGCTGAAATATCCGGGGGGGGGGGGGCAAGTGCCCCCTCTTGCCCCCCCCTGCGGACACCCATGTCTGTCCTATTCATTAACATTCTTATTTTACCCTCTCCTCTATCTTTTAAGCATGCAACTATAACCAGATTCTAAATAAAATAAAAAAATTTAAAAGCCCAACCTTGACCCTTGCTTCCCATCCAACTACCACCCTATCTTTCTACTACGGTTTGCCAAGATCCTTGATGCAGTGAAGGAAAAAAGTATTTAACCCCTTAAGGACACATGACATGTGTGACATGTCATGATTCCCCTTTATTCCAGAAGTTTGGTCCTTAAGGGGTTAAACCACTGCTGATTTTGAACGTTTGCACTCTGACAAAGAAATTATCAGTCTATAATTTTAATGGTAGGTGTATTTTAACAGTGAGAGACAGAATAACGAAAAAAAAATTACAGAAAAAACGCATGTCAAAAAAGTGAAGTAGCTTTCAGTTCCATTCGCATGAAGGTAACGTGCCGAACCAGGGGCACCCAGGGCAAGCTACTAATGGCGGTTGGGGAGATTTAACTCCCGAACAGAGTCTTGGTATATGGCCCACAGTCTGTGGGCAGGAGGCCAGCTTCTACACTCCTCCATGAAGTTGTGGCAAACGTCTAGGTCAAGGAGCATTTATCACAGATGGTTTCTTAAACTTAACCATTACCTTAAGCTTCTCATATTTTCTCTCACAAGTATTACTACTCCCGTGTCGGTCTCCCTTCAAGTTACCTCATGGGTTTGCTAACCAGGTGTTCGACTCCAGCTGCTACTTCACCCCTCATGTCCAGTAACTCGCCAAATCCTACTGCATCCATCCCTACTGAACACAGGATGTGGTTCAGCAACTGGTACATGCTGCAATCCACTTCAGTTGTCTTACACAGCTTGCCCTGTTAAAGTCTATAACAAATGCAGTGTAGAGTCATATCTTACAGTCCACCTGCACCCCCCATCTGTCAGTTTCTACTCTGGCTTCCCATAAGACTTAGGGTTCAAATTACAATTCTGGTACTTGCATATAAATCTCTACACAACACTGCTGCTACCTACCCTCACTAATATCCCATCCAGAAACCTACATTCAGCAGAAGAGCTGCATTCATCTCTCTTCGTACGGCCACTTCGGACACCAAACTTTAAGACTTATCCAAGGTAGCCCCAGTCCTGTGGAACTCCTTTCCCCGCTTCATTAGACTCACCATTCCAAAAAAAAACAAAAAAACAACCATCTAGGAAACCAGATGCATGAAACAGTTAATAGCTTTCCCTCCCCGCACCTTGGTAACCCACCCTGCTTCCTATCCGGCAAATGTTTTTTCAAAATTAACTACATCCTACCTGTGTGTCCAACTCATCTTGTTGCAAACACTTGTCTGTTAATCCACCTGTTGTACAGCACTACAGAATTTGTTGGCGCATTGTAAATCATATTCCTAGTCTCCTAGGTACTTTGTGCATTGCTTGGGCACAATCTTGAAATCTGATACAAATCAAGAGAATATTAAATATTTTTAGACCATAATTTACAATTTTCTTAAAACTGGGAGAATTCTTGCATTTCTGCTGTCAATTTTCCAGACTTTTGTTTCGTATAATATAACTATGGAGAAAATAAAATAAAAATATCAGCTTGTTTCACGTACTTCCGGAATCATTCTCTCACCTACAGATAAAGCCCTATTTCAAGGTAGAAAGCTCTAACGCACTATAGGTTCCTCATTACAGCGTCTGCCTCGCCGAGTGCTGTCCCATAAACAGCGCCACTTAAAAATCTTATTTCCAGATTTGTACAGATTGCTCCCTGTGCATTTTGGGTCTTCCATTCCTATCGCCGGCGCGCAGGTTAGAATATTACCTTTTCCTTATTAGCCTAATCGGAACGTGCCATGTGTCATTGCATTGCAATTTGATGGCATCTTCATTTGTTAATGCAATAATAAGAGATCACATCTTCTGCGCAAAACGATTTCCAGAAGCTGCGATACAGTGCTCAACGCTGGCACAGCTGCAGCCATCCTGCCATCACAGCACATTAATATTGCATCACATGATGCAGATCACTTTCTCATTCTTAATTGGTAGTTACATTTTTTTCCTCTGGTGAAATTACTGATTGATTTGAAGTTTAAATGAACTCATTTATTATAATTGCTAAAGTCCTGAATACAAAGTAGTTTAAAATAAGGAACGTCATTAAGAGATTGATAGGTCTTGCCGTGAAAAAAAATCCCATATGCCACTAAAGCCGCTTCCTCCTGATTGGGTTTTAAATTCCAGAAAGAAAATAACAGGGTGGGGGGTTAACTCTTCTGTTTCCAGCAATTTGACAAAAGCTCACACACTTGAGTTCTTGAAGGGAACCAAGCATATTCAGGAGTTACAGCATTTAGTGGCTTCAATTTCTCCTTACAAGGAATTTAGGGCAGGTAGGGTTAAATAGCTGGGTTACTTACAAAACCGTGTCTGGAATTACTAAAATGGGGAGCTATGTGGAGTGGCTCAGGAAAGGCAGGTCTCAGATTCCTTATTACAGTTTCTCCAGAATTTCTCATTAACTCCTAGAGAAGCTCAGTTCACCGTGTTCCCACTCAGCATATTTTTGAGAGTGACCCAGGACTATAAAAAGAAATGGCCAAGCGAACCCCAAAACGCAGATTTACTTTGCTAATGGTGCATCCAAAGAAACAGACTTTGACAGCTGCTAGTTTTCTGCAACTAACTAATCAGCATTTCCGTGGCTTGATGCCCAACAGCTGTTGCCACCTCCAGAACCCAATGGCTCTGGATTTTAGAGGGGGTACTTAACAGTTTCTTTCATTTTATTTACCCTCTTCCTTTCTGTGAGTGTTACTATACGGTCTCTCCTCCTGATTAACTCAGCATACTGAACAACATTATATGGCGCAATGAGATGTGCAGGGGGTTACATAACGGGAGCCATATGAGACTGCTGGAGAACACAAAACACAAAAACCTTACCAGCGGCTTTTCAAGATTATTCACAAAACCAGCAATTGTTAGGAATTGAACAGTCTATAAATAAGACAATATGCCCAGATTGAAAGACTTCCCCCAACTCCAACAGGGAATTGCAATTTTAGGCATTCAGTGCTCTAAAAATGGTGAAATCTCTTTATTTCCCAATTAATTAATAAACTCCCTTGCTTTCATTCCATCTTCTGACAGGTTTTTGTTTGTTTGTTTTTTTTAACAGAAATTGCATGTAGTAAAAGGGGCCTGTTGATTTTTTAATAGTTGCCAAAGGCCAGTAAATAAATATTAATTCTGTCTAGATGTGAACATTTGTGACTTTACTTGGAATAGGTCCCTCAGCAATACGGAGTCAAGAAAGGTCGGGGCTTTAATGGAAAAATAGGAATCTGTAAAAATAAAACAATTATAATGAATTTCAATTCAGAGTTCATATGGACTCAAACATGTACCGAGATGGTGAAACTGGAATTGTTTGGCCACAGTCAGATATAATGAACACATAGAATGGCGTAAGAAACGAAGATCTAGTAAAAATTATAGTTTTATTTCTTTGTAAAAACCATCAGAAACATCTAAAAAAAATTTCCAAAAGCAATTAAAAATTTCTTTCAGTGTACAAATGAACACTTTACATTGAGGCAGAGATGAATGATGAGAATGGAGTGAAGGAAGATATAAAACTTCGATACTCCTGGCATAATCGGTGACTGTGGAAAAGAGATAATAAACCAGAGAATGATCTGTGAATATGAAAATAAGGTGCTCTCTCACTCGTACAGAATCAGAATCCTAAGAAATTGCCATAACTCAGCCACTAGCTCTTCAAAGTTGACACATTAGCAAATGGGTTAGAATTATAGATTTTCCATTAACCCCTTTCAGAGCCAGCATGAGAAGCTGCCGGCACGTGAAGGGTTAAAATTGCAACTACTGGCTTTCACCAACACAACAAGAAAAACAGGCTGCATTTCTCCAATTTCATTAAAACCAAAAAAAATTACCTGATGGGCATTCGGAATAGATTAGATCATTGTTACAGTAACTCTATGCCTGATTGGTCACGGATTATAATCTAAAACACATCTAAAGGTCATCGGTCCCCTCCCATTAAGACTTTAGAGCCTGCCTAAGGCTCCCGTACAGAGGGTGAAGAGTTAGACATCCAGTCACCGGAGTATTGATCATCTGGAATGTGAGACAATCACACAAGTCTTCTGGGTGCACGTTCGCGTTTTGAGTCTGTTCTTTTTGGCAAAGTAATAACATACAAACATTGTGTGAATGCACAATGTTCCGTCCCTGGAATATTTTCTATGTTGTTTGGGAAAGTGATAATGTCTGTGTGGATCTATGTCTTCTTTATCCTGGGAGAAACCGCAGGTCTCTGTGTGGATTTTAGTCCATGTTTTTTGCGAATGCTCAGTTTGTCGGTCTCGCCTTTCCCTGATGCAGCTGGGGATTTCCAAGGCATTGTGGCATTCACAGCCTGCTCAGAGTTATCCTGCGTCCGTCCAAGGTTGGCAGAAGATGACGTTTTTCCAGCTGCAGAGGGCTACAATACAAAAGTCTGTTAGCCTGGATCAAATAATGTACAAACTATTTCAAGACATGAAACATAATTAGAGTTCTATTAGGAATTCTATATAAAGCATTTTGAATTCAGTGCAGGAAGTCGCCATCACCCGTTTTAATAATGATTTCATGCATAGCTATGCTTTAATATATTTTATATAGAATATATTAAGTCTACAATCAAACACCACCACTTCATTATGAAAATTTTGATTAATTTGCATGAAATAGCCAGTCTGTACATTTCCTATAATACTCAGCTACACTGGGTGATATTTAAAGTTAAAGGGACACTATAGTCACCAGAACCACCACAGCATAATGTTTTGTATGCAGCTCAATGTAGTGGTTTTGGTGTGTATATCCTGTCCCTGCATGATATTCAGTGAAATGGCAGTGCTTACACTACTGCCTACTAACACCTCTAGGTGCAGTCACTCAAATGGCCACTAAAGGTGCTTGCTATTCCAGTGCTGCACAGTGTACAGCACTGGTGTTCCGTATCTCCACACTCTGCATGGAGGCGCTGAACGTTCCCTATAGAGATACATTGATTCAATGCATCACTATGAGGAAATGCTGATTGGAGCAGCTTTGAGATTGACTATCTCAGCGATGGAGGTATGGTCAGCCATGGCGAGACAGGCACAGCGATTGAGAAAAGGTACTTAAAAACCTTGTCACAGCAATCTGAGGTGCGCGGGGGACTTAAATAGCCACTGCAGCATTATACGGTTCCTTTAATTTGCATGAAATTTACTTTATGATGTCAAGCACTGGAAAAAGGTGAACGTATTTTGTACATATTTATTACACACGAGGTGGTGGTTGACCTGTCACAATTGCCTCCTGCAAATACAGAGTGCAGACTTATTTCATTTATTTCCTACATATCTTCATTTTTAAATAAATATTCAGAATAATAATCCATATCAGTATTTTGTTTCAATAAAACTAGACAACTCATTACCCAAGGTGGGTTGTTTCTTTAAATACACAGTTTATATCCCCCCCAGTCAATGCCAAGCCAATTGAGGAGTACAAAGCATCAATAATAAACTTACAACAGCAGGCGACTTTGGGCTCGACCCTTTCTTTTTAACCATGCCATTGGGGAAAGAAAGTGTTTTTTTCTGGCTTACCTAAGAACAATGGACAAAAATCTGAGCATTATCAGAAAAAAAAGTAAATAAAAAAAATAAAATTGTAGAACAAAATATCTTCAAAATGGACCCTCCAAGCCCCTAAATCAGTTTAGTTTGCTGAAGTGCTTTATACGAGAAGAGTGTCTTTCATTTTACAAAAAGTGCAGATTTTTATAGAAATTGTCACTTTTATAAACTAAACGTGTTACACCGGGCTGTCAAACAACTAGTACTGTTATTTCATTTAGGTCCACTGAGCTAACCAAATTTAATTGGCAGAAATTGCCCAGAACACCTAACTTACAAAGACTTCTCATTAAGCTGTATTGGGAAGTCTGTGATTGGACAGTCACAGAAAGTCTGGGGAGGGTTTGAAAGGGAGGGCTTAAAAAAGTCTTCAGACAAGATATCTGCAGCTTTTGTGAGAGGTTTTAGATTAAAAAAATAATTATGCTTTTAATTGTGTATATTTAGTAAATATTAATATTTTTTTATTTTTTTATTTGCAGTGCAGTGTGAAGATCTGTTTGAAAGGGACACTACATTGCCCAATTAATATGGTAAAGCTATAGAAATTCGTGCACAGGAAGAGACAGACATTTGGAAACTTTCTATGAAAAGGCCTTCTTTTGTACACAGAAAAACAAAAACCAAAACAAACCCTAAATCATTTATGGACTGTGCGCTAAGAACGCAGGGAAAATTCAGATCATTATTCAGGGATGTTCACTAGAGATGTAGTGTGAGAATTAGTTCACAAGTTACCACGACTACCTGTTTTGTCGGGGTTAATGGCTTGCTGCTGTCTGTTTCTGAGGCCCCATTGCTGCGCATGGGACTGGCTCGCTTTTCTGTGACAAGAAGGCTTGCGTCTTGTGACTCACATAAGCCATTCGACTCACTGTCCAAGTGTTCGTCGTCATCCATATCGTTTCTCCACTCCTTCATCATTTCCAACACGTTGGTTGGCCTCTGCACAGGGTTGGTTTCACCCTACGTTGGAAAGCCCAAGATTAGAAACGTACAGTAAAGATCTATAGAAGCATACATAGATTTCCAGTGAGTCTGCTGCACCTGGCCATACGGTGTTTATTGGTAAACCCCATGTGCTTACTGCAGATTCAGATTTAAGAGTCAATGGTAAATTCTAGCTGGGCAGACAGTGTCAAGGCTAAAGCCATTTAACCAACTTTGTGATGCTCACACAATGCCCATGGTATTAATTAAATAAGCTGCCAGTCAGTGTCAGGCTGTAGTCTCTCTATGTGGCAGGGCTCCCTTGATTACATTGTAGATACAAGTTTTGTTATTGCTCTAATCTATAGTTGCAGACTTGCCATTGGCCACCCCATTATTCTCACCGTTATCCAGGGGTCATCCAGCAACTCACTGGCAGTAATCCTGTGAGCGGGATCTACTTTAAGAAGCCGCTGAAGTACATCTTTAGCTAAAATAAAAAAAATAAATAAAAGTAAAATACAAATCTAACTTATTAGCAAACGTAGTACATAAAGTGGTTTGGGTGCAGTGGCCCTGCCTTTTAGCCCAGTAAAACATTGCAGGGTTGAATTCACCTCTACCCACTAAAGGCACTTTTCAAGGCAATGACCCAGTAAAATTTGGTCACGTGATGTTGAAGCTCATAGGAAAGCATTGAATACAATTCTTAACTATGGGGAATCTTAAATGTGCGTGCAGCACTCATCCCACATGTGCATCAGGTCTCAAATGCTCCTCCATGAGGATTTTGTTAATTTTTATTATACACAGGAGTTAGGCGTGGACGGACCTGTATAGAACTAGGGATAGTATAGTGTTAGCAATACATTTGTACATATATAGTGTTCTCAGGACAGTCTAAGAATCACGGACTCTGCTCAAAACACATTTGAAGTCACGCTGTGATGACCTCTTCCAGCAGATATTTTTTGCTTTTCTATATCTGCCATTCAGTATAGATAAATACATTACCTAACAAACAGCATTATTAGCAAGAGGAGCCAAGATTGAATTAAAGATCAAATAATTAAAGTAGACTGACCAGTCATCAAGGAAAGTTTAAACAAGATGTAAACATAAACAGAGGCCCCAAATTTCAGCTCAACCTTCCAATGGTTAATAAGAAGCTGGTGGAACGAGACATGCATAAGGCTGTGTATTAGATTCACCCTCTGCTCAGTTACTTGTTTTCCTGACAGTCTGAAATTCCTTCTTACGTGAATCAACCAAAATGACAGTTTACTTGCTGTTCAACTTCAATAAACACCCCGTAATTAATCTATATCATTTATCAAAGACATAAAATAATATATTTACACCAATGCTATTGTTAATGATTTAAAGAGTCTACTTACCATCTCCAGTGCCACCGTCATGCCAGATACACCAACATAACACCCACCCGGGCTCCTACCTACATCCTGTCTTTCTGTCTCACGGCTGGCCTGGCTTTGGAAACCTACCCTTAGTTGGGCAAACCTGTGATGCCTGAACAGAGTGACTTTTGCTACTCTGACTACTGTAATTACTCTTCTGGTAAACGTGAGGCAGTCTTGCAAGAGGAGTAATCACAGTAACCACAATTCATGTCATGAAGCTGCAGCACAAAAGAGTAGGAGAACCAACTACAGGAGGCTATGAACATTGACCATACTGTCAAAAATTGATTGACGTGTGGAGGATGGACCATGTTTTAAACAGTTCTTTTTCATAAGATTGATCTACTTTTTAGCATTTGTGCCAACACACACACTGTA